GGTTCTGGAAGTGGTATCCTAATTAGGACGCGATCCTTTGGGTAATTCCCATCTAAAACACTGGGAATTCTGAGCCAGGATTGCTAATCTCTCTCCTTAGAGGAGGGACCAAATTAAACCCCTAAACTCATTTTTACTAATTAGACACCAGGCCATGAAGAGGAGACAGAGCTCCTGGGTTGTAAATCCTAACTGGGTCAAAGAAAAAAACCTAGATCCTCGCCTTCCCCCCGGCTCCAGCAACAAGATCCCCGCGGCAGGCTGACCCCCCCGCGGCAGGCTGACACCCCTCCTTCTACTGAGATTCTTCCTGGCTTTTTTTTTTTCCCCCCCCAGGAGTGGGGTGTTCAATGCCAGAGCCCACAGCCCAGCGATCCAATTCTGCGTTCACCGCCCAACTGAGACATTGCTTTGCACATCTTGCAGCAGCATTCCCAGATTTCTACTTGCGGGGGCAAACAAAAATTCCTGTGCTAATAAAGAAGAGCAGGCAGCTAGCCACAAGAAGGTAGGAACAAAGGGTGGAAAATAAGAACTGCTAAGTCCTTGAGTCAGCAAAAGCCTTTTCCAGAGTCGCTAAATGCTGAGCTAGAGGAGGAAATGCCTTTTGTTCAAAGGCAATTAAAATTGAATGTGACATGACTGAACGCTGAAGACATCTGAACTCCTCCGCTGACTTACGTTACCCTTTTTCCATAGCCTGGATGGCCGTAGGAAATGCTATTCCAGCTGTAGGTGTTCCCTTTCCTATGCTAAAATTTCAGCGTCGCTCTGGTCTGCTAATTCAAAGCTTGCAGTAACGATCAGAGAAGAAACACAGAGCAACAGAAAAAGCACTTAACGTCACATTTTCTTCATTTTTTTGATCTGGCTTTAAACCGCTGCCCCAGTTGCACAATGGTTAAGTCGAAAGGAAGCAGTTAAGGAAGAACATCGCGTCCTTTCATCGTGTGCCAAGCCATCATTAGCCAGCGAGAGCCTCTGCGAGCGCCTCTGCCCGTCCTTTTTCCCCTCACATACTCGTGAACCGGAGGAGCCAACACCACTGGCACGCAGACACCGTCGTTGCACCGCGCAACAACCGTGGGCAACGGAGGTGCCGAAGTTCTAAATGGTTTGGGGTTTTTTAATCATTTTGGAAGAGCAGAGCATGATTGCTGGGGGCACAAGCTTTTGTGAAACGCATGGATCACAAACTGTTCACGTGGTTGTCCTCCCTAGAATTCCAAACACACAAACATCCCCTTCAGAAAGAAGATTTCCAAAGCACAGCCTAAACTGAAATCAGTGCAATCAGTGGAAAAGGAGGAACTGCTGAAAGGTCAGACTAAATATTTCTGCCTAAACCAAGCTACCCACGTGTGCAGACAGGACTTCTTCTCTCTTTAAAAAAAGTATTCAAACCTCATTTAGTGTTCATTATCCTGATTATTTTTTTGCTCAGGCTGGATGCAAATACCGTTTCCTAACAGGCCTCTCCTCTTTCCAGCCTTCTGCGCTGCAGCCAGAGGACCAACTTCTGTGAACAAATTCACCGCCTGATCACAGGAGCTCCTTCGCCCATCGCCGTGACCTGTGAAACGATGTCCGCGGAGGCAAAGCGCTGGCAGCACTGGTTTTCCCCAAACATTTTCCGAGCCACGGCCACGAGATGGGGATTAATCGCTGGGTGCGGTAACCACAGCTGCCTGCCTCTGTCGCTAGCAGATATTTGTTAGGGAAAGCAACGTGGAAACCTATTAAGTTTATACCAAAAGCACAACCATTTGGGCAGAGATGATGCTGGGTCCTGCGCAAGGAAACAAATGTGCGGGAACTCCTGCTAACATCCCATCCTGTCGTTGCCGCTGCGGCAGCATCGGGCTGTGTGCCGAGTCCCGGCCAGTCCCACGCTGATCCGTTGGGATGACCAGGAAGCTCCCATCGGGATGACCAGGGAGCTCTCTCACCCCTCCCGGGGGACGTATCTGCACGTGGCTTGCAGGTCAGGAGGCTCAGCTGCTCAGCACAGGGACCGGATCTAACGTGACCCCTCCAGAGCATCGCTGCGCCCGCATCTCCTGAAGGGAATTCATGAGCTAGGATACAGGCAGATTGCTGGATGGCAGACATCCGGCCTTGCAGTGGAAATACTGGGAAAAAAAAATAGTTACCTGCTGCTGTAGGCATTAGGGGGACAGCATTTCAATAAGACTGTCCCACGTTCCGAGAGGTCACCCTTCCATCCCACAGACAACCCCAATGGGACGAGGCGTGGAGCTGTTCCCGTCTCTTAGCAAAGTGCTGCTTAATAACAAGAAAAGAGGGTGCGGTGACGGATGGCCCCCGCAGGGCTTCTGTCGCCTCTGTGCTCTGCCTTCACCGTTGGCCGCTGGTTTCCAGAAATGAAAAAGCAGGGTTGGTCCTTCTCTTTCAGCAACCTGGATCTCTTCAGGACGAGCGTTCGCTCCGTATTTGGCTGCCTTCAGGGGGCAGAAATGCCCAGAAAGACGAGGTAGAAAAGGGGGATGGATTTCTTGAGAACTTCCCCCCACAGCTCTGCACGCGGGCGGGGAGGAGGCTACGCAGCACGCTTCAACGCTAGGCACCGCGAGATGGGTCAAGAAAAGCAAGGGGCTGCACAAAGAGGCGCGCGTAGGGTACCTCTCCCTGGGGTCCTCTCTCCTTTCCTTCACTGCCAACTTCTCCCAGGGACACAGACAGCTCAAGAAATTCTGTGTGGCGTTTTTGCGGCCTCTGCTCAACTGCAGGTGAACGCGTTTTATCCAGGCTGCGGGGTGGCCTGGCGCGGCCGCTTTGCAGCTCAGACATCCCCTTTTTCCTCCACAAGTAGCACTGAGCAGCGATGGAGCTCTGCTGCGTGGGCGGCTGGGGCAGGGGAAGGGAAGATGCAGCACCCCCCGCGTGCCGGCACCTTCGGGTTTCCCGAGGGACATCAGCACCATTTCCTCCTGATGGTTCCCAGGCATTTGCAGCACATGATGCATTAGGGCAGTTAATTAAGCTTGGTTAACTCCCTAGCTCTGTAATAAATTCCGTCCTGGTATTTTAATAAGAAAAAAAAAAATAAAAAATCCTATATGCTTTAGTTCATCCTAAGCGACTTTCCAGGCTACGAGGAAAGATCAGCTGCTGACAGCAGCCAGCCCTGGGCCAAATCAAAATGCACAGCGCCAATGCGCAGCGACACTTCACAGGGACTTAAAAGCAGGACAGCCCGTTTGGAGGAAGCCTAGCACAGGTTTAACTGTCGGCATTAGGACTCTGCACTGAGTAAGCCATACTTTTTGGATCAGAATTTACAGGATCAAACATGACTTGAAATATTAACAGTTTAAAAACACAAAGCGTAGGACAAATCCCAACGACTGTAAGTGTTAAGGAGCTATCTGTGTGTGGAAAATAGAGATGTCCCCTCGACAAAACACCCTGGATCCCCGCAAGCCAGAGCTGCTCGCAGACAGTCTGGCCTTGGAAAGCCGTCAGGCTCTCGGTCCTGCCAACCTGAGCCAAAACCCACCGAGACGCCCTGCGGCTGCGACCACCACCCAGCCCCGTCCCAAGGGGGTCCCGCGCTGCCCAAGCTGCACAATGGGACGCTGGGGACCGCGGACTCGCGGCGCTGTGAGCGGATGGTCACGGCGGGGGGGCCCCCCCCCCCCCCCCCTCTCCCCCCCCCCCCGCCCCTTCCCAGGCAGAGGAGGGCGAGATCTCCTCAGCTGCAAGAGCTCCCGGGGTGCCCCCAGCCCCCGTCCCGCGCTGCGAGGGCAGACCTGGCCCCAGGGGCTTGGCGTGGGATGCCCGACTGCCCCCTGCCATGCACTACCATCTCGCTCCTGGGCTCCCGTGCGCCTCAAACGTTCCTGACTACAGCAATGCTGGGCCCATGAAAGAATGGAAGACGTTAAAGGAAAAAGAAGTTATTTTCCAGGTTAAGGAGCTTTGTCTGATGTACTGTGTAATTTAAAAGACACATTCCTGCATTGCCTATGGTTTCTGAAATTCAAATACAAACCATTTCTCATGGAAACGACTAGAAATAAAACACAGGATCAGCATACCACTGGAAAAAAAGTCTCTTTGCCAGTTAGGTTTAAATGTACCTAACGGTCTCAATTCCCATCATTCACCCATCACAGCGGAAATCAACCCAAGCCCAGAAGAACGCGGTGCCAGACTTGAAATTGAGACAAGACCTCCAAAATTTAGAGAAATACTTGAAATTCTTTTCTGAACAAAACCTCAGACCAAAACCTGAACCAAACCCTCAAAAACTTCAGGTCTAACGGCAACTGGAAATAGAACCGCCCGGGGGCCCGTGCCCTCCGCTACCGCTCCTCTCCTTGAGGAGCTCCAGGGCAGACACCAGCATGCAGACACCCGCGCTCGACAGCAAACTGCTCGAAGGCTGATTCCACAAGGGGGTGGGCTACGGAGCGCGTGAGGTGGCATACCCGGGGAGAGAGGAGGCCAGCTTCCCCGTCGCTCCACAACCTCTTCCATCCCGCAGAGCGCTAAATTATCCCTTAGTTTGAACCAACACGGCTCTTCTGAAACGAAACTCTGTGCGCACGCTCCTAATTGCATGAAGCTGCCTGTCTTGCGGAAAGCTCCGGAGAGGCTGGAGCGTCAATGGGAACGTACCCCACGGGCACTAACAGGCACCCCTCGCTTCAGTGCCCTCGGTCGCCACGGCCCCAGCGAGCTGCGCTGCGCTTTCTTACCCAAGTGTATCCGCTCACGACGCGGGAGCGACCAAGCGCCGTCAGGCATGCAACGCAGCAAGCGCGCCGCGCCATCCGCGGAATACGAAGAGGCCTCGGCATTACACTAATTTTTTCCAGCTAAAGGAAAAGGTCGAACACTTCCAATACAGAAGAAAAGTGGTATGAAGACGTGGTTTGCCCTAGCCAAAGGGAACAGGCATTTCCTCCTCGGTTCAGGAACGCAGAAACGAAGACAAAGCGTCTGAGCCAGCTGGGACATTCAGTGGGCTACGTTTAAGCACGCTGCAGTTTTTAACTTTTGGTGTTTTATATTTAAGAAAAGAAGCACGGGCGTACCAGGATGCAAAACCGCACGACGCGAGGGCATGCGAATTCAGGCCACCCCACGCCACTGTGAAACTACAAACGCTCCTGGGTGGTCACGGTGTGGGGGTACGCGAGGGAACGCCTGCCTGCATACAGATCATTTTTCCGGAACATAACCTAGCTCTTTTCAGCTTACTTCTTTTATTTCCGTTTCGATAGCAGCAATAACAGTTAAAAAGACTTACCTATTTGGATCTGTTCCTCTTTACCAGCCTGCAGAAGAGAAAAGAAACACATGCACAAAGCTGTTAGTGCAATTACTACACAACGCGCGACAGCAGAGCACTTCTAGAAGGCTGAAAAACTGCTCGGGCTGTACTGCACCATGTTTTACGTTTCAGCTTCTGGTTTCCGGGGATGGCATTTTTCCTGAACTGAAATCAAGCGCCGTCCCCACCGCTGTACCGGCAGGGTCCGCAGCGAGTTTCACGCAAACAGAGGCGCTCAGAAGCGGCG